TTCACAATTTTATTCTTTACTATTATTTCGACTAATTTGCCCGGTACTGAAGTTATACTTACTGGTCTGTAATTGCCAGGATCGCCTCTAGAGCTCTTTTTAAATATTGGTGTCACGTTGGCTACCTTCCAGTCATTAGGTACGGAAGCCGATTTAAAGGATAGGTTACAAACCACAGATAATAGCTCAGCAATTTCCCATTTTAGTTCTTTTAGAACCCTTGGATGAATGCCATCCGGTCCTGGAGATTTGTTAACATTAAGTTTTTCTATTTGTTCCAAAACCTCCTCTAATGACACTTCAATCCGGGACAGTTCCTCAGATTCATCACCCACAAAGGACGGTGCAGATTCAGGAATCTCCCCAATGTCCTCAGCCGTGAAGACTGAAGCAAAGAAATCATTTAGTTTCTCCACAATGGCTTTATCGTCCTTGATTGCTCCTTTTATAGCTCGATCATCTAGGGGACCCACAGGTTTTTTAGCAGGCTTCCTGCTTCTAATGTACTTAAAAAACATTTTGTTATTTCTTTTTGAGTTTTTGGCTAGCTGTTCCTCAAAATCTTTTTTTGCTTTTCTTATTACATTTTTACACTTGATTTGACAGTGTTTATGTTCTTTTCTATTTATCTCACTAGGATTGGACTTCCACTTCTTAAAAGATACCTTTTTGTTCCTCACTGCTTCTTTTACATGGTGGTTAAGCCACGGTGACTCTTTTTTAGGTCTCTTGCTATGTTTTTTAATTTGGGGTATACATTTAAGTTGGGCCTCTATTATGGTGCCTTTAAAAAGTTTCCATGCAGCTTTCAGGGATTTGGCTCTAGTCACTGTGCCTTTTAATTTCAGTTTAACAAACCTCCTCATTTTTGTGTAATTCCCCTTTTTGAAATTAAATGCCAGGGTGCTGGACTGCTGAGGTGTTCTTCCCACCACAGGAATGTTGAATGTTATTATATTATGGTCACTATTCCCAAGCGGTCCTGTAACGGTTATATCCTGGACCTCATCCTGCGCTCCACTCAGGAATAAATTGAGAATTGCCTCTCCCCTTGTGGGTTCCTGCACTAGCTGCTCCAAGAAGCAGTCATTTAAGCCATTGAGAAATTTTATCTCTGCTTCTCTTCCTGAGGTGACATGTATCCAGTCAATATGGGGGTAATTAAAATCCCCCATTATTACAGAGTTCTTTATTTTGGTAGCCTCTCTAATCTCCCTTAGCATTTCAATGTTGATTAAGATAGTCAACAAAATGGCCAGCTAGCATTATTTGAGATGCTGAATTTTATAATGTAGACACATGCCGCTAATAACTGGAGTGAGGCCATTAATAATTTCACATGGACCACCAACTGCCCAGTGATTGGAATCCATTGACAATTCTCTAATCCATTCAGTGCCCTTGCCAAATTATTTTAGATTTATGTCTTGGCGAATATTCATGCTGAGAGAGACAGATCTTTGCAGATCTCAAAGTTCTGTTTTTAGGCAATTTGTAACACATTGTTTCCCTTCTTTTAAAATCCCTGGGAGCAGAATTATCCATCACTGTTTTGCATTTTGAACATTTTTATGCAGCAGTTTACACTGAGCCCTATACATTAGCTAATATGCTGTTTATGCACGAATACACGTCACAGGCATTTCTCAAACCTGTTCTATTTTACAGAAGGCTGCAACAATAGCTGTTCCATTTAGGGGCTAGAATAATTTGTCCTGTTGACATTGACTTAATTTAACACATTTTTTTTCAGGAAGCAGAAGTAGATTGAGTGGTGTATTGTGCTCTAAATATATCTGTTTGGCCAAGTGACACCCGCTGTTTGAGCACCACTATCTGAAACACTGGAGGCATGTGAATCTGGTGTTTAGCATGGAACAATCCCCAAAAAAGCATCCACTAAGGGTTTTGTACCACAACAGACCTAGCTAAAGTCACTTTTCAGAGATAAGCCTAATTATCTGAAATGAAGCAGCAACGGTCTTAAGATATTGCTATCTATGAGGCTCTCTCTAGGCAAAACCTGTGGATATTAATATTTTTGACTGTATTTTTTAAATCTTGAATAGCACTTCAATATTAAGATAATGAGCACATTACAAATATATTTAGACTATAGTGACAACTTCAATGGGAACAGGATGGATCAATGAATAAATAGATAGAATATTATATATTTAAATCCTGCAACATGATCTGTCACAGAATAAAGATTGCAGTGAAAGTATTGGGATTGACTAGCAATTCTATTTAGCTATATGACATTTTCAGAAAGCTACAAGGAAAGCTCTAACGTAATATTGTATTTTGTTTTTATTAATCAGTTAATTCAGGTGATGGCATTGACTACAGCCAGCAGAAGCGTGAAAATATTGGAGATTTGATTCAAGAGACACTGGAAGCCTTTGAGCGTTATGGTGGCGAAGACGCTTATATAAACATTAAATACATGGTCCCTACTTATCAATCGTGCTTGTTAAACTAACGAATAGCACAGTTGTGTCCAAGGGATGATTCCATTTGTGTTCTCCAAAGCTATATCTAATTCTGTGTAATGCCTTGTTGTTCATGCTTTCTTTCTCTACAGCTGCTAAAGTAGTGGCTTCTGGACCATTAGTCTGTTAGCACTATTGTGAACAAGTCCTTCCAATACATAAATAGTGCCTGTTCTTTTGACTACAATGGTGTACTGTGCTTATTTGTTCTGTGAAAGAATTGCTTCTTTATAACAAAGCTGACTGGAGCAGGAGTCAGAGTTAAACCTTCAGTTGTGCAGACAATAAAACTGTAATTTTCATACGCAATTCAGCAATTGCCGTTCTGTGTCCACTTGCCATAGGGGTGATGTCAGGGGTTGTAACAAGAAGAGTTTATGCTGACTGCTTAATAGGTGTTTGTCATGGAAAAGAAAGTTCACCAATGTGTCTCCAGCAGCTGTGCAAAATAATGTGTTCTCACATATAATAAAACTGAGCATATATTCCAATTACAGTAGGAAACATTCTACAGCCCATTTTAAAGTTCTGTGATAAAATGAATTAATGTTTCTTCCTTTCCCTTTATATGGGTTTTTGGGTGTTTCCCTTTATGTAGTTTGGGTTTTTATTTGGGAAAATATAGCATTAGTATAGTTTTTAAAATATCTCAACTTTATCAGATGGGGTAAGGTGAATATATTAGACAGTCCCAAAACAAAGTGCTATATTAGCCAAACATTGCACAGTTGTATATGTAAAAAGGACCCTTGTATTTGTCATAGCTCCTAAACATCTTTTTCTTAAAATTGTTTATAGTAACCTCTTGTAATTTTGTTCATTAAATAAGTTGTCACACTTGCATCCACACAGAAAATTGTTTCCATAACCTTGCATGTATGTGAGGCTTTTGGAATTGATTTTATTAATACATATAAAGTACACTAATAAACATTACATGAACATCAGCATTTCCATACCCATTCATTCAAAAAATCACAAGGTATTTTGAGTTGTTTTTTGGGGGGACAGTTATAAAGGCTCCTTGGCTGCGTCTAGACTGGCAAGTTTCCAGTGCTTTTGTGGAAAAGCGTCCGTGCCAATCTAGATGCTCTTTTCCGCAAATGCTTTTAACGGAAAACTTTTCCGTTAAAAGCATTTGTGGAAAATCATGCCAGTCTAGACGTAGCCCTTGTGTTTATCTTCCAATTTCTGATCTTTTAAGATGCAGCTGGATCACATTTTCAAGCTTTTCTCTGTAAACATGAGGACTGGAAACTTTTTTTAATGAAAGCTGGGATTCTCATGAACCTGGGCAATATGGCTCTGAGAAAAAAAAAAACTAACACTAAACTCATGATACAATCATGAAAGCTGGGAACACAGGAACTTTGAAAATTAGACCATTTTGGAAAATCATTTTAGTAAGGTAAATCAAATCGTAAGGCTGCCAACCTTGACAAATGTCCCTTTAAGCATGACAGGCATTGTGTTTCTGGGCAATTATAGCATAACTCAAAGTGCTTTATAAAGCACAAGACCAAAGGCCAAGTGATTTAAAGCACTTAAGTAATGGTATGACCTTCAGATACACTGCCTAGTTGGTTTACAGCTATCAAGAAATGGAATTTGTACATAAAAAAAATTGAAAATTGAGCTCCCACATTCACCAGTTCATGTAGATGTAGTCACTGGCAAACAGCCTGGCAACAACTTCTCATTGACTATCATTACAAAACTGTCTCAGCCAGATCCTCAACTGGTGTAAATAAGCACACCTTCACTGTGGCCCATTACCTACCTGGACTTACACCTGGTCAGCAGTAGAAGGGTTTTTTAACCTCAAGTGTCTTGCCCATTAGCACAAACGGTGTAAAGGCTAGTATGGACTCTAGGCTGCACGGTAAATCACAACCCCTTTGTATTCTGGAACAAACATTTGGGGAGTGGCCTTTACAATTCTGTTAACTAATTCAAGTTAATTGGCAATCAATGAGCTGTAGATCAGGCCTGCTGATAGGAATTCTGGGCCTCCAGACAACCCATCAATGGGATCCTGTCTTCCTCCCTCAGGGGGAGCTGTATGCCACTTTTCTCTTCCACTCAGAGAAGCCCAGCGTACCACCTCTCAATCAAAGGATCCTCTGCTCAATTGCTGGCCCATCCCCCGCTTGCCTGGAGGTGCCTCTTCTCCACCCTCCCTTCCTGCTCAAGGTAAAAATGATTAATGTAGAAAAGACCCAGCTGTGGTTCTGGCTTTTTACCTACAGAACCCTAAGGAACAAACAGCAAGCAAATGGTCTAATTAGACCATTTGTTTGCTGGTTTTTTTTTCCTGTAGCAGACTAACTTGGTTACTCCCTGAAGCTCTGAAACAAAGTCACTTTCCTTTATCTTTTATCTACAAGGACAGTCTGGATAATTCAGTCACAGGCTGACCTGAAGCACCTGAGATGGTTGATACTCTGTAGGCTGTTAAAACTGAACAGGTTTGTGAGCTCTGCCACAAGTTTTCCAGGAGTTTAATGGTGCAAAAGGACTGATTACGAGGGAGAGATTAAAGAATAAACACTATTGGCTTCTGTCTATGGCCTCAGCTCCTGGACTCAAGTGGCTATTGCAGATGCTCTGCTTTCATTTAAAAAAAAAAAAAAGGTAAGTTTCTAATTTTCATGCTAGTGAAGATAACATTGAAAATCTGACCTCTGCAGAGCCCACTAGCTGAGCCCAGTGAAATCATAGCTCTGACATGTGAGCTACCTCTTGTATCTTGGTGGCTCTAAACTCCCAGATTTATTGCTTGGGTCTCCTGCAACTCCCCACCCAGAGGTTTTCTGCCTGTGGCAGGAGAAGTGGACTCCACCCAAGCAGATAACTGCTGGGGAAAGACCTCTTCCCAGGTATTTATGCCTCAAGGTAAAAAATGACTAATGTAGAAAAGACCCATGGAGCTCTGATTCTTAATCCTGTCCTGGAGAAAACTGGGTGTCACTTCTGCCACTCTAAAACACACCCTGAATCCCAAGTGAGTTCCCAGTTTGTCTGGTCTATTCAGTGCTCCAGTGCAGGGGCATTGTTAGCACTAGGTGTGAGCAAGCTGTGGTTTCAGAGATTGAAAAATGTTTTTAAACATTTAAACCTGAAATGAATGCTCTGTTGAATGACTCTAACTTGATCATTCAGCATCAGCACATAATCCTTCACTTACTTGAATGTTTAAAAAAAAAAATCTAGGTGCAAACTTGACAGGTCTTTGCCTGGTTGGAATATGTAGTACTTAAGGATCCTGTTTATAAAACTTCTTGTCCTTTGGAAAGAACACACTGATTTATTCTTTAACTATAAACTGTATCAAAGTATTTAAATTTGTGTTCGAGTCACTGGAACATTTGCACTTCCCCATTACAAAACGGAAGTATCTGATCTAAGTCTGTGCAGAATGTGAGGCTTGCAGGTCTAGTGAACCTTCAATTCCTGTTCCTCAAAGCGTGTGGGGTGGGAGGAAGCATGAGGGAGAAAAGTTTGCACAAGTTTATGTGATGAGCTCCTGCTATATACTAAAAGCCTCAAGTTGGAGAAGAACTGGAGCATTCGCAGGATAGGAAATGTAAGTGAGCAGAAGCAGTACTTGCCTGGCCAATTCAATATAGGCAGTCTGCATACCACACTCTTAGCGCAGTATGTCCATGGGGCCACATTTCTGTGCACACATGTAAGAGAATTTTAGACCTCAGAGCAAAATGTTGTGATCTCACTAACCAGCACATGTTGGAGCAACTAATACAACCTTTTACATGGGAACTAATCCTGGTACTTCAAAAACACTGAGAGGCTGTGTCTAGATTGCGCATCTTTTCCTAGAAGAACGGTGTAAATTGCAAACTGCAATTTGCATAGTTTTTCCACTTTTTTCAGAATAGGCTCTTCTGACATTTGGCCCATCTACACAGGGCCAAATGTGGGGAAATAACCCTTTTTCAGAACATCCCTACTTCCTCGTAAAATGATTTTACAAGGATGCCAAAAAAACACATCTGCTTTTCCAATTTATTCTTGGATGTGACAGAGTTTTTTGGAAAAACTCAACACTCTAGACTCGGTAGTCTAGTACCCAAAAATGTTGTTATGACTCAGTGCGGGAGGGAAGGATTCATTATCTTGGGGGCTGGGGTTAACAGGAACACATGGAAGAACAGGAAAATCCTTGGGTGTGTTTGTAATGGGATTCTAATGACCCTGGCTCTTATAACAATTGGTTATTGCCTGTCTGGAAACAAGATTTAGTGAGACAGGCCTTTGGTTGTTAATAGTGCTACTGCAAGCTATGACCTGTCTAAATGTCAGCTACGTCAGTATTCTGACACACATTGTAGGAAAAAGTAATCACTGACTGCATTCATGCTAGAATTTGTACTAACATCACGATTCCTGAGTAAAATCAAACACCAGTGAAATAGTTAGATCAGGACCAAAAATGTGTCACGCAAGTCTCAAAAGCAGGTCTGGAGAACAAGGGAAAATGCTGGATAACTGGCGAGTGTAGTGCCAATGTGTAGACTTCACCATCCCAGGAATGTAAAAGTTCAGGGGGTCTCTGGCACTTGTGGGGACTGCCAAGGAACCTTGACGTCTGCCACAGGATGCCCAAACTCCTACTTCTACAGTTAGCTTAAATGTCAGAAAGGCTGAGCTAAGCCAGGATTCTCAGGGCTTCCAAACCCTCTTGCCATAGAACTGCAAGTCAAGCTGTGGCTAGAAATGGGATTCCCAGGCAGATTGGAAGCCCTGACATCCCTAACCCTCAGGTAGCTTGTACAGTGGAGCCATGAACCTTGTAAGCCTAGGTTCAGGAGAACCCTGCGTAGTATCTGGACCCTGCCTGTCGTTTCACAGAAGCTGCCACACTCGAAACATTTGTGTTTGTTTTAAAAAAAAAAAAATTTCAGCCTCAACAAATGGGACTTCTCCAGTGAAAGTTTTCTACCACAACGGAGGCCTAGAAGTGCACAGTAGCAAGAGGGGGGAAAAACAACTATTTTGCTGAGGTGGTGGCAGGGGGGCGAAGGGGAGGGGGAAGACGAATAAACATTGAGGTGAGCAGCCCTTTGCAGGCAGGGACCAACTATCATGAGTGGAGCTGTTCTTTTGAGCCACACTGGGCACTTTATAAGTCTCACATCCCTTTGTGCTGCCACAAATCTCTTC